TTAGGGATTCGTTATTATTCTTAAAAAGTTCTTCTGTACTCTAAAAAAAATTGAATATCATATTAATCACTATAAATAATTTACCGTTACCTTTTCTTAAATGATAAGCTAAAGATCTATTAATCACGTTATTTCAGAGATTTTTATTGTTTACTAATAAAAATATTAAACATTATATTAATATCGTTATAATGCACTTTACTTAATCATCTTTGTTACAATCATCATGCAGTACTTTTTGGGAAATATTGAAAGGATATCACAAACATTTAGTAGATCTAGCAGTATGCAAGTTGAAAATTCCTCTGTAAGTTCTAGTGTTGAACATTTTACAGATGAACCTCCGCAAGTTATTTAGAAGCTATTTCACAAGCTCCAGGTATAAATTTGATAATGATTCAAAATTTTTCTTCAAATTTCAAAGTAAACTTTTAACTAAATATTAAAATTTATTCAAAAAATGTTTACTGAAATTTCTGAAAATACTATCTCTTCAGAAAATAATATCTTTAATTCAGAAACTGAACAAGAAGAAATATCTATTAATTCTAATAGATTAAGTGATTATATTGCTCAAAATATATCACTTCATGAACGAATTAAAAAATTAAAAGAGACAATTAGTTAGTATTCTATATATTTTTATAAATTTATATTATAGATTATTATTAATAATTATTTTTAACTATAGTCTCCTACAAAAAATATTTCAAGTATTTAATTATAATATTTGTAATACTATTTTTGATTATTTTAATTTCATTTGGTATTTATATCTGATATACAATAAATGTACATCAGATAAATATTCATTTACTATCTCGACAAGTTAAAGTTGAGATTAAAAGAGAAGTTTTTAATAATCATTTAGATTTAGTTAAATGTCAGTTTCTAAATTTATTGATTCTATTAAAATAAAATAAATAATATTTTATATAAATAAATTAAAACAAAAGGTTTTCTTGTTCAGTTTCTGAATTAGAGATATTATTTTTCTAATTGGGGAACTGACCAAGAAGATTTTTTTTAAATTAATTTAACAAATTTTAAAATTATTTTTAATAATTTTTGTATTAAAAATCTTTATCAATAATAAAAAATCTCATGATTAAAAATTATTCTACATATAATTTAAAAATTATAAAAATAATTTTTAATATAGTCTGAAATCTTTATTTTATAGTAAATATTTGAACAATTTTAAAAATTATTTTCGATTCTATGTTAAATCTTAATTGATCAAATTTGAATTTCTCAATTTTTTAAAGATTATATGATGATTAATTAACAAAATATCTTAGAAAATTTCAAACAAATTAAAAATCTGTTTGATTTGATTATTGAAATAAGACAAATTTCAATAAGATTTTATATTAAAAATCTATAAAATCTATTTTTAAACTTTTTATCTAATTTTAATTTATTTATAAACCTATAAATTTAATGTATAAACTCTAGAAAATAGAAAATAATCACTTCATATTTTTGAAACCCTAAAAATATAAAAATTTTTAACAAAAATATTAAAGGAATTGATAAAAATAAATATGCCAAAGACTAAAAAAAAAAATATATTTACAAAATATACTAGATGTCTAGCTTGTAAAGAGAAGAGAATTAGATGTAAAATATCTGAAAATTCAAACATTTGCTTATATTGTTCTAAAAAAAAATTAATCTGTAATAGATACAAACCTTCAAAGATCAATAAAGAAATAAAGAGATTAAATAATATAATTTATGATCATGAATCAAGAATTAAAAAGTTAGAATATGATACAGATATTTTGAAGAAAGAAAATAGAATATTTAAAAATTATATGAAATAGCAGGAACTTCTCCAAGATACTTTAAGATCTTCAATTATTAATCAAAATGATAATGATGATGATGATGAAAATAATTTTGAATAAACTATAAATAAATATAATTATACTAAATTTATTGTAAAAAAATATCTACAGAAAATTTTGAATATGAATCTTTTAATTCTCCTTGGAGAAGGATATATTCAACATTTAAGGTTCTTGATTATTGGATATAGGGTATTAAAAAGACTCCAAATAGTAAAAAAATTTATAATCAAATCTGACTTATCTCAATTGATAAAATATCTTATATAGAAGTTAAAACTCAGAAACCAGAAATTACATTTCTCACAGATATCTCAAACTATACAAAACTTCGTCAACATATTTGGTATGCAAACAAAAATGGAAATACATATTATATTGCAACAAATTTTAAAAAAAATAACAAGTAGACAATTTTAAATTTTCATTGATTACTTCACCCTGAATGGAAGATAATAGATCATAAAAATCAATTAGGTTTTGATAATCGTGAATGTAATCTAAGAGAAACAACTCCAAAAAATAATATTTTAAATTGTAGATTATGTAATACAAATACTTCAGGGTATAATAGAATTACATATCATAAATATCATAAAAAATGGATATTTCAATGGTTTAAAAACAAAAATCATAAAATGAAATATTTTAAAAATAAAAATAAAGCAATAGAATTTAAAGAAAAACATGATAAAATTACTAGAAATCGTAATGGATATTATGTTGAAAATACTAATGTAAAATGAAAAATAATACTAAATAATAAAAAAAATCTCTATAAATATGTAAAATTTTATTTTTTTTTAAAAAATAAAGATGAATCTATCTTTTGATATTTTGTTTAAAATCTTTGGTTTATTATCTCCTCAAGAGAGATTAAAATAAAAAAAGTATCAAAATCTTTTTATAGTATTTATCTAATTCATGTTTTAAAAAGAAATAATCTTAATCCAAACAAATATATTCTTTATTGAAGAAGTAAAAACATAAAATCTGATAATTTAATTTATAATATTGTTCGAAATGATGATAAATACATATTTCTGAAAACTAAAAGATCAAAGAAAGAAACCAAAGTTAAAAAATTATATAATAAACATGGTGTTATCTATTGTAAATTTCAAAATAACTATTTATATATTCATGAAAAAGAATATATTAAAGATATTGAAAAAGATACTTGTAAAAAGTGTAAAGAATTACAATTTTTAAAAGATTATGATATCTTTAAAGAAGTTTGTTCTTTTAAAAATTGTAAAAAACTAAAAATTTACAAAGAATTGAAGGATATTAACAATAAATTAACAAAGAATTTTGATAATTATTGTGAGCATAGACTCTGTCAATGGTGTGCTTTAAAATTTTCAATTCGATTTAATGTAAAAAATAATGAATATATTCAGAAATTATTTATTTAATAAAAAAAAAAAATACAATTTTTTGTATCATTTAAATATTCTTCATACAAGAAAAAATGTAAACGTTTGATAAATTTAAATAAAAAAATTTTGAAATTAACATTGTTGGTTTTTTCAAAACTATTTAAAGTTTTATATAATTGTTTAATATTAATATTATTTTTTATAAAACTATATTTATGACAATATTTTTTGTAATTAGGAATATATTCATTTTGTAAATGTAACTTGACCACTTCTAACACTGAAATTATATCTTTTTCTTCAATACTATTGAAAGCATCTTTATAATATTGTAGTTGCTTCAAATTTCTTTCAAAAAATTCATAGAGAATTTCTTCTTTTTCATTGATTTGATAAATTACTTGATTATATATAGACATTTTAAAAAAATTATTTAAATCATATAAACAACAAGAATATTTATATAAAATTTCAATGAACTAAAATAATCAATTATTTCAAATACTTTTCTGTATTAATCAGCTGATCTATTAAAGAATTCTCATGAGGAAATTTATAATTATTCCTCATGAGAATATTTATAATTAATCCTTAAGAGGAAATTTTAAGTGTAACTAAATAACGTGTATTTTTTTTTATATAATTTTAATATTTTATAATAAAA